TGTGTGTGTGTGTGTGTGTGTGTGTGTGTGTGTGTGTGTGTGTGTGTATATGAAGGTCTTGGGTTGGGCAAACTTTACTTGCCTTCCGTAAGTTACTAATGTACACTTAATTGGCAATGGAATGGAAAATGTCACATTTCCTATTTGGTCACTTTTAGCTTGTCTTCTCTTGGAAAACATTGCTTTATGCTGCTATTCCACATGTCACTGAGGTCACAGGGAGGGAGGAAAGGCAGAGGGGTCCATATGGATAGAAGACAAGAAAGCTTGGGTTCAAGTCTCACCCCTGACATGTACCAGCTATCTGACTGTGAGGAAGATGCCACCTCTCAGTGTCCCAAGACAATTCTCAAAAACTATCCCCTACAAGATCTCATTGGAGAAGGGTAGTTCCACACTGGGAGTTCCCTGCTGATAAAATTTCAGGTCTAGGCAAAAAAAAAATTAGGGTAGGGTTGGGGGTGGAGAACTTTTAAAAAATAGTAATTGTAGGAATCTTGGAGCAGACTCAATTTGGAAAACTACACTGAAATCCTAAAGTTTTGCCGTACAGACATGGTGTTAGAGTATCCTAGGCAGTAAAAAAAAAATTTTTCTGAGCCTTTCCATTTCTAGGTATTTTCTCTGCCCCCTACAGTGGGGGAGGATGTTGTAGTGGGCTGAGCCTTTGTCTGGAGAGGCAGTAGACCTAGGTTCCATTGCTTGCCCTACTGCTCCCTACTGGTCTCGCCTTAGATGACCCCCTTCCTTTAGGGGAGGGGAGGCTCAGTTTTGTCACCTATGAAGTGAAGGAGTCAGACTAAGATGGCATCTTAAGAGCTGTTCATCAGCTTCAAGCCATAGGTTCTTGCAAGCCCAGCCTGCATGCCAGGACGTCTTGGGTTTTTACTGACATTGGTGGTTACAATCCAAGACTCTTCTCTTCTGACTGGCTGTTTTTCTCCTTCCTTCTCCTATGTCCCCAGGGATCTTTGAGAAAAGAATTCCCCCAGAACCTGGGAGGAAGCGACATCTGCTATTTCTGTAAGAGGCGTGTGTACGTGATGGAGCGCCTGAGTGCCGAGGGCCACTTCTTTCACAGGGAATGCTTCAGATGTGAGATCTGCTCTACCACGCTTCGCCTGGCCGTCTATGCCTTTGATGCAGATGAAGGTAAACCCCTGCAGTGGCTACCTTAAAGGGCAACATCCTAGGGAATTCCCAAGTTAGGGAGAGAGGAGGGCTGAGCCCTTACAGCCCATAGACAAATAGGTCTATGGTCTTATGTGTCTTATGGTCTTATGGGTCCTTCTCCTGGAAGGAGCTCCCCCTAGGCCTTGGCCCTGGAGCCTCCTGAGGACTCAATTGCACTTACTAGGCAAAAGGATTACTGCATTGAGCTGGATTGAGCATGTCTGTGACCTCTGCTTATGCCTGCCTTGGACCATTACTGTTTTGCAGATGCTTGACCTCATGGTGCTAACTCTCTAAAACTATGTGTTTCAGAGAATACGGCAGCCTGCATTGGTAGAGATTCCTCATTCAGAAGTTCCCAGTGTCAGTAAAAGGTCCAGTCTCTTTATCTCCTCTAAAAGAAGGAAGACCTGGGTTCCAAGATTACCTGCAGACAATTTCTAGCTATGGGACCCCAGAGAAAGTCACCAAACTTCTCTTGGCTTTAGTTCATATTGTACAGAATGAATGAAGTCGAATCAATAGCCTTGGAAGGGCCCTTCCAAAACTCGAGGTCTGGGGTCCCGTGAAGGGTTATGGTTGGGTCTTCTCATGCCAGGGAAACTGAGTGGGCTCTCTGTAGTTCTAGGGTTTTTGTTGGTTGTGTTTTTAAGCCTGGCCAAGATGAAGTTTGAGGGGCTGCTCTGTCCTTTATGCCATCCATTATCCCATCCCTAGGAATAGCATCTCTAAATTTTGATCATTAATAAGGTCCTGAAGTTCAGGGTCACATCACTCTTTTCCAGTTCACTGATACTGGCTCTATTCTCCAGTGAATCAGAATGGAAGACTTTGCCTTTCAGGGCAGGAAGGGAGGAAGATGATTGAGTAGATGTTACATGTAGATAGAAGAATGTTACGTAGAGATGTTATGTATAAATATTATATGTAGATTATTATGTGAATGTTATATGTAGGTAGAAGAATGTTATGTAGGTAGAGATGGAGGAAGATAGGTTGAGTAGAATATGTAAGTAGAAGAATATTAAGAGCAAAGCCGTAGAGGAGGGAATAAGTAAATGTTCTAGGAAAGAGATTGGCTCTAAAGTCTAGCCATACCATAGTAGAGGCAGCTCAGTAGCACAGTGGACAGAGCACTGAGCCTAGAGTCAGACCTGAGTTCAAATATGACTTCAGACACTAGCTGTATGACCTTGGCCAAGTCACTGAACCTCTGTTTGCCTCAGTTTCTCCAACTGTAAAATAGAAGATAATAATAGCACCTACCTTCCAAGGTTGTTGTGAGGCTCAAATGAAATCACAATTGTAAAGCACTTAGCCCTGTGCTTGGCACATAGTAAGTGCTATATAAATGATAGCTATTATTATTATTATTGTTATTATCATTATCAGAGTTAGTAAACAAGTAGATTGCTGTGTGGGCTGAGCTAGGTGAACAGAACCACACCAACTGCTGTCTTCATTAGCACAATACAGATCTCTTAAAGAATATAAGTTCCTTGAGGACAGGTTTCTTCCCATATTGTATTCTCCAGAGACTAGCACAGTACTGGGCACATAGTAAATGGTCCTTTTAAAATGCTTGTTGAATTCAGTTGGACCCTTTCCAAAATAACTTTGACTTTCTCAAGTTTTAAGCTTTGCTCAGTAATGGTCTCATTATCAATGTCTGCCTCTTGATAGAGGAAGTGGCACTTGATTGATAGTTTCAATTAAACAAGCTTTTGGTAAGTCCCAGAAGATGTAGATATGTCAATTTAATTTATGAGATATTTGTTAAGCCCCTGTCATGTGGAAGACACTGTGCTAGGTCCTGGAGATACAAAAGATAAAAATGAAAACTGCCCTTGCCTGCCCTTATAAAAAGTAGTAGTAGTAGTAGTAGCAGCAGCAGCAGCAGTAGTAATAATAACTACCATTTATATAGTGCTTTAAGGTTCCCAAAGTACTTTACATATGTTATCTTATTTAAAGTTCTTAAAATTTACTAGGGAAAGGGGCAGCTAGGTGGCACAGTGAATAGAGCTCTGGCCTTGGAGTCAGGAGGAACTAAGTTCAAATCCAGCCTCAGACACTTAACACTTACTAGCTGTGTGACCCTGGGCAAGTCATTTAACCCTGATCACCTCACCAAAAAGCAAAATACAAATTACTAGGGGAGATACCACTCATACACAAATGAATCAATACAATATAAATTGAGGAGGGAAAGAGCAATAGCAACTTATGGGAGAGGCACTGGAGGGCCTGGACAGGGCCAAGTGAGCTTGACTTTGATTCTTGGCAAAATTCTCAATCGTGTTATGATAGGGATCATTCCTGGCCACCTCGAAAAGGAAACTGTGACCACAGAGAGTTAATAGTGGCTTTCTCAAGAGCAGGACATACCAGACCAACCACATTTCTGTCTTGGATAGGATTACTATACTGGTAGATGAAGGAAATGCTGTGGATGTAGTTTACTTAGATTTTGGCAAAGCATTTGACCGTCTTTCATGTTCTTCCTGCAGATGAGATGGAAAGGGGAGAACTAGATTTTAGTCTTGAGTGAATTCAGATGAAGTCGAATGAAAGGCATTGGGCAAAACCTGATGACTTGGAGACAAAAAAATCCCACTTCGTGCACTTAACCAATATAACCCTAGGCAAGTCACATTTCCTTGGGTCTCAATTTCCTGATCTGCACAATAAGAGGGTTGGTCTCCTCCAGCTCTAAATCTGTGATCTCATCAATGTCCAAACTAACCATTAGTGTTTCAAAGACAACTTGGAAGGAGATCTCTGCTGTAGCATCCCAGAGTTTGGTGTCGTCCATTTATATTTTAATCAAAGAGTTGTAGGTTAAATGTCATCTTCCCATTTTGATTATTTCTTTACAGGTAAATTTTACTGCAAAGCTCATTTCATTCACTGTAGAACCAATAGTAAGCAAAGGAAGAGACGAGCAGAATTGAAGAGACAAGAAGAGGTACGTTGTTTTGTTTTTTTTCCTGTGAAATACCTCTAACATAGAGAGGAGTCAAGATCCTTAATGAGAAGGCATTTCTCTGTGACCCCTAGAGATGGCCATCTTGAAGTCTTTTTTTCAGTTCACCCAAGAGCAGCCGTGGGAGGGAGATAGGGCTTTTGAAAGGAACCAGTGAGTGACAAGGTGTGGAATCTAGGGTAGCATCTTCATTGTTCTGGGACCTCTGAGCCCAGCTCGAACCCAATTATTGTCTCCATTTGCCTTCTGTCTAAGAAACCATATACCTGACATTCCTCAATAAATAATTTTGCATAAACAAAGTCCTTGGGAATAGACCTGAGGATAAATCCTCATGGGACTATCTCTTATCTATATGTTATTTGTTTTCCTGGCCTGTCCTATACCTTTGGGGGAGGTCCATGGCTAAGTCTATCCTATTTCTTCTCTTCAGAATAGCTATTTATTTTCTCAATTATATGTAAAAATATGTTTAACATTCTTTTTTCAAAATTGTAAGTTCCAAATTCTCTCCCTCCCTCCCCCCCTCCTTGACAAGGCAAGCAATTTGATATAGCTTATTCTTGCAAAACATATCCAGATTAGCCATGTTGCAAAAGCAAATGCAGACCAAAAAAAAAAAAAACCAACTCAGAAAACCAAGAAAAATAAAGTAAAAAAAGCGTGTGAAAATCTGCTTACAGTCTGCTCTAATTCTAATGCTCTCTTAAGACTTGTCATTCTTGTTTCCATAACACTCTTTTCTACACCATATTGCCCAAGATGCACAATTTACCCTTCCCCATAGAGACAGAAGGAGGGAGTAAGGGATACAGAGAGGGAGGATGGGAGAGAACATTGAAATCTTTCTAGCTCACCTAGTGTAGATGGTTGCTCAGGCCCAGGAAAGATGAGAAGGAGATATTTCTAAGGCCTAAGTTGTTGTTTTTTTCCTCCCAAGTTGAAATGGATCTTTTCCTATGTAACTAAACTTAAGATGTGTTTTATGAATTAAGAAAGGCTTTCATGTATAGACTGTATCTTAGTATCCCTTTCTGAACCTCTCTGGGCCTCAGCTTCCCTATTTTTTCAATTAGGAGATTGGACTGGATGACCTGAAAAGGCCTTGCTACTCTGAAATGATGAGCCTATGGATATTTTAATGGTCCTGTTGTCTAAAAGTCAGTTTTGCCAAGTCATTTTCATATTCATATTCTCAGAAGGGTCTCAGATGGTTTGGCCCATGGCCCATTGGCCCGTTGGCTCTGAAGACCGTTCATCGGTCGGAGCGTCCCATCTGTTTGACCCAGGAATCAACACTTCTCTTTGTTCTGATTCTAAGGAGGAAGTCAAGGAGAAACAGCAGGAAGCAAAGTGGCCAGACGCTTCCCCTGAAATTCTTGGTCCTGCCGTCAACAGCCGAGAAGCCAGCCCGCCAGGTATCATGACTTCCTTCTTTAGGAAAGTGCTCTACTGGCCCATTAGGGTGACAAGGGATCTGCTTGACATCCCCAGAAGCCTCTGTAACAGGATACATGGGTTTCTGCATGAGACCGCCCTCCATTTCAGGGACAATGCTTACAACTACTGCTATATGTATGAACTCCTGAGCCTCGGGGTACCTCTCCTCTGTGTGCTTTTCGAGGTCCTGACAGACATGTACAGAGAGACAGAGTCCCCTCTCCAGAGTGTGCATGATTGGGTGCAACAGTCCCTCTGGGTCAAAATCAGCTGAAGCTTATTGTATGCTCTATTTTTTTCCCCAATACACTCTCTCCCAAAGTGCCTGTGATATTCCAAAGTGTAAAATTGTAGTATTTTTGCAGTTTGCTAGTGCTCTGAATTTCAAACAAACTATTTTCAATCAAGTTAGATACACATGCAGAGAGCGCATCCGCCTCAGCCTTGTCCAAGGAACATGGCGGAGGTAGATGTCCTCATGGTGCCCGTGTGTGGAACTTACATGAAGGATGTATTGATAGCTTTCTGTTCTTTTTACCATGATAATGAGCCATGTTTCCGGGTTTACATTTCAAGATTTAATAGACAAGACACAACCTTTTTTCTAAAAGGTTTTTTTTTTAATTTTAGGGTTGGGGTGGGTTTGGGGGGGGGGGAAGGAGGGTGTTATGTTGGGGAACTAGAGATTTGTCACTTGGGGTGGTTTTTAGCTTTGCTGTAGATTATAAGGTTTACCACTTAGGCAGATGATGATGTGAGATTTTTAAAACAACACCTCATAAATGAACATGCCACCTCCCGGCTTATGGCTTCCAATTTACTTGTCTACACTAGGCAATTTTTTTTTAATGCTCCTAAATCTCGATCGTTGAAGAGTAAGAATGTGGACAAGCAATATGTGATTAAGATAGTGTGCTCTGAGAAGAGCTCGGTGGGACGATAGCAATAAACTATTCTCTCAGAATTAGAAGGATTTCTTTCCTCCTTGTTTTGACTTGAAATACCAGGTTTTTTTTCAATTTCCAAACCCCAACATGTCAATACATAGAAGCAGCAAATGAATTAATATTGCAGGGACTTATTATTGGTGCCCAGCCATCCACTAGCATCACAGTCAGGAATTAACCAATTATAGCAATACAGAGAAAGATGTGGAGGAGGCCATTTTTCTGCAGTTTGCACTTGACCCTGTCTGACCACCCCTACTCCCGAGCACAGACTGGTTAGGGACAGTAAAGCCAAAGGGTGGTCAGGTCCCTGGCTCTGAGGGTTAGGACGTGAACCCAAGGAGCTCAGGCACCCTCTGGTATCATATCCACTGAGACAGAGACCAATTGGAATGGGAGTCATTAGTCTTTGGGGGCAGGTGGGCAGAAAGCAGGGAAGCCAACGCCCCCAGCCTTACAGCTAGAAAATAAATACCCACCCAGATTCTGTTATTGCATGTAGAACCTGTGATACATGCTTACAGATGGTACAGTGTCAGGGAGTAGGCTTCCATGCAGGCAATATCTGTCCTCAGGTGCAAGAAGGAGTTTCATTTAGAAGCAGCATGACATAATGTAGAGTGTTGGACTTGCAGTTGGAGAGCTCTGAGTTCAAATCCTGCCTCAGATATTTACTAGCTACATGACCCTGCATGACAAGTCAGCCTTTCCAGGTCTCAATTTCATCATTTATAAAGTGAAGAAGTTGGATTTGATGACATATAAGTTTCCTTCCAGCTTTAAGGAGATGATTATCTCACCATATTTATTTAGGGAAAGAATGATTATGTCCTCTGGTCTGGAGGAAATCTTAATACACTGTCTTTATAGACAATGTAAGGTGTGGAGTTGAGGTAATTACTCATTAGTAGGGTTCTTGCCCATAAATTCACTTGGGAAGAAAAGCACTTGGGGCCTTGACTACCTGTTTTAAACTGGCTGTCAACATTGCCCAAACTATTTGGAAAGTTACACAGCCCCTGTGGTCTATTTTGCCTGTGTAGACACAGTGCCTGGTGCATAGTAGACACTTAGTAAAAACTTGTTGATGGATGGGTCGGTTGAGTCAGAATGGGTCTCTTGATGCCAACTCCCCTCCCAGCCTTATTTTCCCCAGAGTTAATGATGCTGCCCTAAACCCCGTTGGGTTTTCTTTTAACTCTAGATCTCAAGTTAACCTCTATTTGGAGACCCAGAAGACTTTGTAAGTTTTAGAAATTAGAAAGCCCAATTGGCTTCCTGGGTCTCCTGTAAAGACTTTGAAGATCCTATGGGAGAATGAGGGGCCTGGCAGTCTAGTTGAGTCTGCAGCCAAATCTTAGCTACCAGGAGCCCAGTGAAGAAGTGGTCCCATCTAGTTTGCACGAGGGCTGCTGAGTTGTAGGGAGGACCCTTCACTTGCTGCACATCTGGGAGCTACCAAAATCACACAGCTGTTGGGGTTAGGGATTTCAAAAACTGTTCATTCTCAAAGGTGACAATGCACACACCTTTCTTGAGGGTACGCTGCTCTTCATGACTTTTATCTGCATTCCATCTTGGAAATCACTGTGTAGTTAAAGCGTTTCATAGATGGCTCATTTCTAAAGGTTTATTTTTTTTTCCCCAAGTCTCATTTATAGCAATAAGAGAGCAATTCTAA